AATTCACTCCAAATTTCCCCCTAGTTTTACTTTACCTAGGAAAAGTACCAGTACACACTTAAGATGGTAAGTCTTCAGACCAAAATCACTTTGAATAAAAGTCAGACTGCCAACTGCAAAAAAGAGGTCTGGATTTCAGGAGAACTCACTGACTCCCCTGAAGAGTCCAGTGAATCTGGAGGAGCACAATGGGCCCATGCTGGTACTAAGCACAGGTTCAAAGTAGGCTCCAGGTGGTCTCAGGTGGGTTTCTCTGAACTCCTGCATGGGTGGCCAAGAAAGGTCAACGGAAATAGTCAATAATCATTTGATACTAAAGAAAGGAGGAGTTTTATTTGAGCTAAGCTGAGGACCATAGCCTGGGAGTTGCAGCTTTCCCAGGGGAAGAAAGCACTCTGGAGAAGAGCAATTTTCAGCACAGTTATATAACATTTCAAAACAAAGATATGTACATCAAGCATGACAGAAGTATATTCCTTCAAGGGTTCAAGGAGATGTTCATTACAGATGTGGGTCAATTTGACCTTAGCATCACAGGAAGAGAGGCATTAATTCTTATCTTTAAAGAGTACTGGTGTCATAAGAAGGGGGCATTATTCTTATCTTCAGAGTACATTCTTTACTTTAGGGTAATGATTAAAGCAGATGTACAGTATCTGTTTGACAGGCTCTAAGTCAGGCTGCTTTGGTTCAAATAAAATTGAGGCCAAATCAAGTTCAAACCAGAATGGCTTCCCCATATACTTTAATATATAAAAATTTTCTTATCTGGGGAAACATGCCCAGTACCTGGAAAAGGAAATACTGAAAAAAACTCTACGGTGTCAAACTAGAATTGGAGATATCAAATTGAGCTCATGTTTTTTAAAATTTATAAGTACATTGAAATTTATGGATTATGTATAAACATCTATATTGTTCCCATCCCCCATTCTTTCTTTTCCACTCTGACTCATCTCCTATGTGTAACTATTCCTTTAGTTTACTAGTTTCTAGTTTCCACTTCCTGTTTCTTTTATCTATATTTCCTAGCTGCATCCTCTGAGATCATTTAGAGGCCTTGAAAGCAATGAACACACCTAATGCCAAAGTTGCTCTTTACCATTCTTTTGTATAAAAGACCAATGTTACTTAGAAAAATGGCTGGTTCCAGGCTGGGGCCAAAACATGACAATAATATCCAAGAAAATTTTGCTGAGCCTGAAATTAACAAGTGCTCAAAGAATCGTGAAGACATAGAGCCAGCTCGAAGGGTCTCCCACTGGCCAAATCTGGAATAATTTGATCTTGAGAATGAATAACACCACGAATGGATTATGAATCCAAGAGATAAGAATCCATGAGTCCATAATGATACAAATAAATCGATGAAAAAACAAACGAGTGGGGTTGATGGAAAGTTCCTTTTATAGGACAATACAACTGATAAACATAAAATAAATGATAGAATTAGAAAGTCACCATTTGGCCACGACATTCGCAATAACTTTTTCATAAAGAATCACCCATGCAGTATTTGACCTTCTCCCTCTGACTTATTTCACTTTGCATAATACCCTCAATGTCCATCCACGTTGTCACAAATGCCTGGATTTCATCGTTTCTTATGGCTGAGTAGTATTCCATTGTGTATATATACCACATCTTCTTTATCCATTCGTTTCATTAAGTAGTAGATAATAACAACAATAAACAAACACATAGAGACAGAGATTGGATTGGTGGTTACCAGAGGGGAAGGGGGAAGGGAGGAGGGTGAAAGGGATAATTCGGCACACGTGTGTGGTGATGGGTTGTAATTAGTATTTGGGTGGTGAACATGATGTAATCTATGCAGAAATAGAAGTATAATGATGTACACCTGAAATTTATACAATGTTATAAACCAATGTTACTGCAATAAACAAAAAATCAAAAGAAAAAAAAAAAGGATTCACCCATGGATGTTAAATATAGTGGATGAAAGTTTAAAAGGATCAAGTTATGGTTATATAGTCTCAAAATATGTACTGAAATGATACTTATTAATTACAAAGTTTCAAATAGTAACTTTACAGTAGAGAATCCGGAAGATGCCACCTTAACCAATTGATCGAGGATAAAATCACTAGTAATTGGAAAAGCCAGTATTATATACCTTATGATAATATGCACTGTAGTAGACACGCCTAAAATCTAAGCCTGAAATATACATACATACATAAGTAAACATAGTAAAGTGTTAACCATTGGGGAAACCTGGGTGAAGTGTATGCAAGAATTCTTTGTATCATTTTTACAACTTTTCTATAAGTCTGAAATAATTTCAAAATAGAAATTTAAAAAATCCTTTTTCCCAGTTGTAACCAGGATCAAGAAGAAAGGAGTCCAGGGCATCACTGGCATCAGGTATACCGTCCACTGGGACTCCAGTCCCTCTGGCTCCTGGACACACAGCTCCCCAAAGGCAGTGAGAAATTAGCCAGAAGATTGGGGACATCATTTCAGTGCTCTCATTGGTAATTAAAATATTTATCTTTTGACTCATTTCTCTGGAGCTGGTTAAAGAATATGAAATTGCTGAGGCCACAGGTATTTCTTCTGTTTTTCTGGATATGGAGTCTCCTGAAGAGAAGCTGAGGATTTGGGCGACAGTCTGGAGCAGAAGGTGTCTGAGGTCACCACTGAGGAGCGAAGGTCAGAGCGAGCTGGAAATCTGCATTGGCGATGGATCTGCCTGGATGCTTGTGGGTTCCTGTGTCTTTGTATTGATGGGTGTGTTTGTCTGTGTGCACATGTGTGTGTATGCTTGTGTTCATGTTGTTTGATAGTTGCAACCGTGTGTGTCTACTATGTATCTGATTCACAGCCTAATTCTTTACCTGATGGACTCAATCTGGGCTCTCTTTTAGCACGTGTAGTCCAAGTTATAAGCCTCCTAGTGTGTGATTAAGGACCCCTGATTCATGCCTGCAATCTTAAATACTTGCATCACAGCATTAGGAGTGAGATTTTTGTCTCTGCTGCTGAAGAAGAAGACGCATGACCTCACCAAGGAAGCCAGGTCAGACAGGGCTCAAACCTCTGCACAACAGTGTGCTAGTGTATGTATGAGCTGTGTTTATGGGCGACACTAGTGTGTGAGATCAGGAATGTGTATTGTTTGCTTTTGTCTGTGTATATGTTACCATGTGTATGTTACCACGTGCATGGTTTGGTGGTGGCTTAACAACTGTGCCTGTGATTGAATAGGCTTATCTGCCCCTCACTTACTGCCTTCTCCCAGAAGGGTGTGGGTCAGAAGGAGCTAAAGCATGCCTCTCAGTAATGAGACTGTGTGTGCTGCTTGTTGTATTGAATTTGTGGCTGGGTGTGCATGTGTGTTTGTTGGCATCTGATTTGCATCCATAATCTCAAATATTTCCTTAAGTGCCCTCCTTCTGGGGTACCATTGGCTGAGATAACCACATTCCAAGTGACTCTCTGTTTCCTGAAAAGGATCTACTATCATTTCCGTATATCTGAGTGTGACTGAGTCACTCAGAATTTTGTCACCCTTTACTTTCACTAAACTTTCCAGGCAAAAACACTAGAGTCATCATGCTGTGTGACATTAGAGTCTTGATCACCACCAAATAGCAGAGAGATCTTGGGAAAGTTACTTAACTATTTGACCTCAGTTTCTACATCCATAAAATAGAAAGAATTACATTTGCATCATGAAACTTACTGTCCTTCAGTAAATATTTATTGTTTAAATAGATGTTAATTGTATGCAAGAATTTTTTAAATCAGTTGAAAAGTATATAAAAATGAAGGAATGAAGTTATATAAACAGGGGACTAAGAAAATTTTGAACAACTTTGGCTTTCTTGAAGCTCTAAAATATATAGGGTGCTTGGCTCCTGCAACCAATGAAAGGGGAAGTTTCCATATGTAGTGGTTAAGAGCATGTGATCCGATCACACAGTCATCTTAGATTGAACCACATGAAGTAGCTAGTACTTGATAATTTTTAATTTACAGAAAATGGTAATACATATATATCAATATACATGTTATATGATATATATATAATATATGTATCTTATATCATGTATATTATAGGTACATATATACACACACACGTGTGTACGTGTGTGCAATCTCTGTCCCCTAGTGTACTTTCGGGGGCCTATTGAATTGATATTCTTTAGGTTTCCACTTCTTAAAAGCAAAACGGGTGAAAGAACACAAATTTTTAGTGCAGCTGTGAAGATTTTTTAAAATCTGAGATTGTAATTCTGTCGTGTAGATTTAATTAGGAAATGTAGGTAAAGTCCTTAGCCTACTGCCCAAATGTTCACCATTCTTATGAAAGATAGTTTGTGGATTTTTCTTTTAATTTTGGAGTTATTCTGGCACCAAGCAGCTTTAAGTGACCACCCATTTCTAGAATGACCATGAGTTTACAGCTGTAGGTCAATGGGACCTGGCCAGGTTCACAGGAGGAGTGTGACAATCTCCAACAACAATGCCTCAGCACTGGAGTCTCACGTTACATTAAGGCAGAAACAACGGATACCAGTTTGCTGAGGCTCATCTACTATTTCTACCACAGTGGATCATTACACTTTGGCTCTGTCTTAGTGTAGTGAATTATCCCTCTATGCTCATCAAGATCCACACGCACAGAGGGCAGGGACCTTTTCTTTCTGTTCACTGCTGCAATCTCAGTCTTTAGTAGAGGTCTATGTTCAGACTCAATGTTCAATAAATAGTGGTTGAATGTAACAGTGAACGCTCTCTTGCTTTTGTGCAATGAGGTCTTGTTGGCTCCTTTTAGGTGTGATGGTTTCCTGGAGCCAGACTAGGTAGAGCAAAGATACACTCATCCACAGGTGTGAGAAATTAATAAGAGTGTAGTTAAAAATTGATTGTTTTCCCAGAGAATTACAGTCTGAGATATGATGGTCCTGACCATCTTTCTAGGTTCCTGAGATTTCCAAACCTTCTTCATCCTCAGCATATAGAGGTGCACTATGAGGACTGAGAACCAGAGCAGCATGTCAGAGTTCCTCCTCCTGGGGCTCCCCATCCCCATGGAGCAGCAGGGCATGTTCTTCGCCCTGTTCCTGGGCATGTACCTGACCACAGTGCTGGGGAACCTGCTCATCATCCTGCTCATCAGGCTGGACTCTCACCTCCACACCCCCATGTACTTCTTCCTCAGCTACTTGGCCTTCTCTGACATTTGCCTTTCATCTGTCACAGTTCCAAAGATGCTCATGAACATGCATACTCAGCAACAATCCATATCCTATGTCGAGTGCATTTCTCAGATGTGTTTTTTCAACATTTTTGCTTGTCTTGACAATTTCCTTCTTGGAGTGATGGCATATGACAGGTATGTGGCCATCTGTCACCCATTGCACTACACTACCATCATGAGGCAGGGGCTGTGTGTCTCATTGGTAGTTGGATCCTGGTTCTTCTGTTGTGCTCATGCCCTGTTGCACACCCTCCTCTCGGTCCACCTGTCCTTCTGTGATGACAAAACCATCCCCCACTTCTTCTGTGATCTCCCTGCCCTCCTGAAGATGAGCAGCTCAGATATCTCCGTCAATGAGCTGGTCATCTTCACCGAGGGAGGAATGCTCCTCATGATGCCTTTGGTTAGTATCTTGGGTTCATATACCCATATAGGGACCACCGTCCTGAGGGTCCCCTCCACCAAGAGGCTCTTTAAAGTCTTTTCTACCTGTGGCTCCCATCTCTCTGTGGTGTCTTTATACTATGGGACACTTGCATGTGTTTACTTTTTCTCTTTATCATGGGGATCCAATGACAAGGATATAATTGCTTCATTCATGTATGCGGTAGTTACCCCTGTGCTGAACCCCTTCATCTATAGCCTGAGGAACAAAGATATAAAACAGGCCCTAGAAATATTTGTCAATAGAGCCAACTTCTTTAAGTGACAATCACTAAATCATCTTATTGCAGTCATGAGCACAGGGAGATGTATCTCCTAAAATTATTGTGTGGTTGACGTTTCCGTATAACTTAAAAGAGTACGCATTCTGCTTTCACGTATAGTGTTCTTAATATGTTAACTAGGTCAAATTCACTACTTGGATTGTTAAATATTATTTATCCCTAATTAATTTTTTCTACACGTTCATCATCTCCTGAAAGATATGTGTAAAATCTTACAGAAAACATGTTGCAAAATTACAACTGTGGATTTGCCTTTTCCTCCTTTTGGATATATCAATTTTTGTCTATGTATTTTTTTATGCTATCTTATTAAGGACCACAGATTTAGCATCATGTTCTGCTCCTGGTGCACTGATTCTTTTTTGTTTTTGTGAGGAAGATCAGCCCTGAGCTAACATCCATGCTAATCCTCCTCTTTTTGCTGAGGAAGACTGGCTCTGAGCTAACATC